GTCTCTTCTCCGTCTCATCCATAAGCAAAAGGGGAATGAGAAGGAGATAACAGTAACAATTACGACTGGAGTAAACGTAAAAGTCAGAGCTTGACGTTGTTTCTGTGTTTAGGTAGGAAAAAGTAATCATAAACTGAATTGGATATGGCAAAATAATTCTGTATACTGAACATGTGAATATTTCATGTATTTGGTTTAATATAAATTCATAAAAGAATATTATCTGAACCGTATATTTTTAACATTCAAAATCAAAGACTTACCCTAGGATTAAGAAGTCAATGAGGAAGTGAGGCAATAATTGCCCTTTGTTCATTTAGAAAGCAAATTTAAGTCACTAAATGTCCTAGGGTATTCACCATGGTTATATTCCTATGTCTTTTCAAAATACAAAGTTCATTTCTGTTCATGTTAATAAGTTCAGTTACTAACTAAAATGTCTGTAGAGATGCACACAGTTGATTTGGACATTACATCCCTTTTATTGGAGAAAATGTGATAGGAACTCTTAGAATTTCTGATTAACTTCCAAATAAATCTCTAATTTTACAGCTGGTAGAAATGAACAGGGAAACATATTGCAAACACGCACACACATATATATCCCAATTAATTACTCTTAGTTCAGTGAGCCAAAGCAATTCCCCATGTTTCTCTTCCAGTGCATGCTTAAGAGTACATTACATCAGGGACCAGCAGTTAGCTTACGTAATGGCTATGTCGCTGGGTGCCCACATAGTTGACTGTGGTTTGAGTCCCGGACCCGGTGGCTTAAACTCATGCTGGGCACATGTGCGTGCGTGTCCAAGATCCCGAGAGGAGAATGGAGGAGAAGGGATTGTGGTGTGGCCATCCCCCCTGGGGGGTGATTTCTCGCTTTCTGTCTCTCTGTCTCTCTCTGTCTGTCTGGAGAGCGCATGCGCCCTATAGCAAAAAAAATAAATAAATAAACCTCTCCCAAAAAAAAGAAAAAAAAAAAAGAATGCATTACATCTATCCTTTAATATATCCCAGAAATATTACTCTCAATCTAACAAATATTTACAGTTTCCTTTTTATGTAATACATTTACTCCTTAATATGTTCATAATATGAAAGGGGAAAAAAACAGAAAATTAAAACTGTAATAGAAAAAGAACAAATAAAGATTTGACATGGAAGTTGTTTGCATAGCTGTGATGGTACAGAGGATCATGACTGATTGGAAACTTTCACAGAGAATGTATATAAAAATGGGTGTTAAATAAACAGCATTTTGGGGGAAATGGAAACACACACTCAGGTGGTAGCAACATTAATTTAGACACATCCTGCCAGTGTCTGGTGGGGCGTGAAATAGCAGAGAGCGCCACAGCTACTTAGAGCGATAGAGGAAAAGGAGATTGAAAAAAAGGACATTATGACAACTGACGTTGTATGTTAGAAAAATAGGTGTGCGGCTAATTGCCTTGCTATCAGCAGGTGATCACAGATGCTATTTAGCAGAAATATTACAAGTTTAGGGCAAATCTAAGTTTTAAAAATCATTTATCTGACTGGATTCTTACAGAGAGGGTATTGGAAATAATGGCATCTGTTAGAAAGCAAATCAATAATCCAAGCAAAAGATGGCACAGTCTTGAACTTGATTCCGGGAAGGGGATATAAAGGAGGAAACAAATGAGATTATGTGGAGGCAGAGTCTGCAGGTGATGAAAACACTTTAATAAGTGGAAAGAGAAAGACGTCAGCTACTGAGAAAATGCTGCCTTCACTGAAATGAGGAACTCAACAGAAAGAGCCAATTGGTGAAATGATCATTTCTTCTTTGGGTACATAAAGTTAAGTGAGTTATTGCATACTCATGATCACATTTGGTCAAAGCAAAGCTGATAGTCAATGAGATTTCTCTCTGACTTCAAAACGGAGAAGTCCTCACTTCAGTCTTTCTTGGAGAGCTTTTATGCTGTGTTGACAGCTTAAAGCCTGTTGTCGTCCCTATCACTCTATTTCCCCTTCTCATATACCACAAATTGATCTGTGGTTTATTCAAAGGCCTTGAAAGTGAAAATAGGGTCAGCTCTGTGGCCCAGTGGTTAAGGGAGCTGGATCCCACAGGGCCAACTTTGTGGTGGAATCCTGGCCTGGCAGTGGTTTGAAAAGCACGTCTGGGCTGATGTACATGAGTGCCTGAAATCTCAGAAGGATGGAGAAATGGAGAAGGGATTGTAGCATGACCATTTCCCACTGGGGGTGCTCTTCCCTCTTCTTCTCTCTGTCTCTGTCTCTCTCTTTGGCAAGAGCACACACTCTCTGGCAGTTAAAAAGAGTGAAAATAATGTTAGTGTATTTACTCCACCTCAGAAATTTATATATTTACATTGGGAAACTCTAGAGGACCAGCAGATGGTGTAATGGCTATGTCACTGGACTCCCATGTATTTGACCGCAGTTCAAGACCCAGACCCAATGACTTAAATTCGCCAGGAGCATGTGCATGCTTTCTCAAAATCCCAAGAGGAGAATGGAAGAGAAGAGACTGCGGCATGGCCATCCCCTCTGGGGAGGTGATTTCTCACTTTCTGTCTCTCTGTCTCTTTTTGTCTCTCTGGTGAGCGCACGCGCCCTATAGCAAAAATCTCTCTCAAACAAACAAACAAATAGAAAACAAAAACAAAGAGAAACTCTAAGACACACCCCCTCAACCCAATAGAGTAAATTTCCAGAAAAGTGAAGTTCACACAGACTGATACTATCCTTTAACTTGTATTGAATTGAAGCTTAAATTTACTTAAATAGTACCATAAAGGGACAGGGAAGTCACATCTTCCTTCAGAGCTCAAGGGAGAATGAAGTTTATTATTTCTGTGTGTGTACGAAGCCATTTTTTAAGGCAAATAGGCCACAATGTATTGCAGCAATTATCACTTCATCCATGTGTTTCCCCCACATGCTGAGGTACAAATCACGCTATCCCTCAGGAGCAAATATGAGATTTCTCTTTAACATCTCTAAATGGTAGGTAATATAGGAACTAATAAACTGCAATTTGTATTTTCTTTGAAATTTAATAATGACAGATTGAACTTAACATAATACACTTTCCTAAATACCTTGGATTTATTCTCTCAGTGAACAATGTTCTCAAGTTACTAAAAGTTGATGATTTTTACAGAAAAGATTTTTTTCATCTATGAGAAATGTAACAATATAATGATTCATATATGTAACTGATAAGGTGGAGGGAGAGAATTAAAATATCAGAGAAGTGGTTAAATATTAGATAAAAAAAAAAAAAGTTACTTCCTCAAGAATTTTAAGTAGGCCAGCATCAAAAAAGCAAATGAAGGTTTTATTTTTGCCCTGCTCCTCTTTTCAAATGAAGATTGAAAAGAGAAAGATCGAAAATCTGTTCAAATAAGGGATGTCTGAAAGGACCAGAGACCAAGAAAGAAAGTTAAACTACTGGCTAATAAATTCGGTCCACGGCTCTTTCATTAGACATTGCAATGTACAAATCGTGCTGGCAAATTTACTTCTGTGTGGGGAACATGATCTTTAATACAGAAGTAGTTTAAAACTATGGATTGCCTAGGCTAATAGATGTGGTTTGGTTCGGTTTGCTTCATTTTGCTTTACAGTAAACCCACAGGGTCAGATCCATTGCACAGAGCTTATCCAGGCACTGGCAAGTGGTAGGTCTGTCCCTAAGTAAACATTGATTTCTTTTTCTTTTTCCTTTATTGTTGAATCTCCAAAGCAATCTTCCTTTCTATTTTCTGGTGAGTGTTTTCCCCCACCTACCCGACAAGGTGCCCAAGGGCATGTATGTTCCTTGTTCGTGTCAGTTTCAAATGTAAGCCCTTAGCACAGTATAATCCCCATATTCACAGGCTCATAGTCAAGCTTGTCCGTCTGAACCCAAGAGTTCTGTGTGAAAATAAGTGGAGGGTTCATTGAAATCCAATTACAGGGAAATGTGTTGATTTGCTCCACCAAATAGCATGGAAGTGAGGATGATCGTACGCTTATTGCTGAAATGCAGTCCTCTACTTCAAGAAAGAAGCCATTTCTTCATGAATTCACACAAGACTATTTCTAACTTCTGTACTGCTTGTAGAAAGGAAATGAGAAGGATTTCTTATTATAGTCTAAAGTAGTCCTTCAAAAATAATGCTGCTCAATTCAAAATGTGTCCATATTAAAGTAATTCACATTGGAAAATATATTTTTAATATCCTCCTAATAGCTAACATGATTATATTCATACCTTTATTTTTCCAGAAAAATCTGTCTAGAACCAAACAAATATTTCTGTCATGAATAAAGTAAATATTTTTCTTATGACACTGGGATCATTTTTCTTAGCTTTTTGAATCAATATGGTTTCTCACTTATTTTTAAAATGAGGAACTTGTTAAGATAATTATTTTCTAAGATGATGATAAGTATTTATTTATTGTTGATAAAGAACATCTTCTCTGTACAAAATGTTATAGTTTCCTGAAATTTGCCCAGGAAGAACAGAATTTCTTCCAAGAATTTATATTCTCTGATTAGGCCAGAA